GTGAGTAGAAACACCTTTTTTATTTTCCCCAAGACCCAGCCTACTTACCCTTCTCTGAACTGCTGACCATAAAATATAGACAAGCATCTCCTGCTGGAAGATAATAAACATCTGAAGAGTTTTTGTACTGAGAAAGCAGCAATGTACTTTTTCTCTTCTCTCCTCCCTGCTGCCCTGTCCTCTATCTTCCTGCTCTTAAAAGATTTTGATTATTTTCTATTACTCACATCATTTAATGATTATATCATGGTATTTCTCAGTGTTCCCAGACTACATTCATTAAGTTAAAGGGGAATAGTATGCTGGGAGCTCTAAAAAAAAAGTAGTAATCCAGTCTTTAAAATATTGCATTGTCTACAGTCCACAAGCATGCAGTCCACAGTATCTTCCAATATCATTTTTTCTGACTTTACTGAAATATTACACATTTTTAATGAAGCTAGAAAAAGCTTAATATATTTTTCATATAGAACAATTCAACTGTCATATCCTTAAGCCCCTCTTGACTTATTATTCAAAGTGTATAAAATATCTGCTTAGTAGCCATTCAAGTTATTCAATTTTCTGGTTTCCTTTTATTGTGATACTAAGCTAAGTAGAAGCATAAGAGGTAGTTTGCTAATAGAATCTAATTGGCTAATGATCAGTATTATGAAGTCAGTTTACTTCTAATTTTAATATTTGACATAATAATATATCAATAATTTACCATAGCCCTGTTGGTCATTTCTTTTAATATGTTTAAGAGATAATAATAAATATTTTTTAATTATATGTACAGTTATATAATGTAATTAAAAGCTGTTTCTTAAAGTTTAGGGTATTAAAAAGTTTTTTTTCATGGCAAGACAGGTAGTAAAGTATAAAAGACAAAGTTTTTATAAACCATGTCTTCCTACTGCTCTCCTCTTATAGAATTAAAAGTAAACCAACAGGTAGACTCAAACTACCAATCTGTTTGTCATAGGCCCCAAAACAAAGAATATTGGATAGTTTGCTTTTATTTTGTTATCACTTTAATTTATTTAAAGATTCTTAGTAGAAAGCTGTGATTCTTTCTGTATCCTTCAAAAAGCTTTAGTTTATAATGTGTGTGTGTGTGTGTCTGTGTGTGTGTACAACCATATATGTTATATATATTACAGCTGTTACTCATATGGATTCATTCTGTTTGTGTTTATGTAGCAACTTTTTGTCCTAACATACTATGGTGAAATCTTTACAGCCCAAACTTGATTGAAATCTAATCATGTATTATACTTTTCAAGATCACAGAATCATTCTTTATAGCTACATAGCAGTATTTTTCCATCTGTATTTTTATTACATAATGTCTTAATGTATTGACATTGCATTTCTTTCTCCTTTTTCCCTAATTTAGAGAATTCTAATCTTGGAAACTTGAAGCATAGAAATTACTATTTTAAAGCCACTATTTTCATTATTTGTACCTGTTTTTTATAGAACTATCATAGCAGATTAGAAATTGGTTTTCAGCATAACAGTAAAAGTATTTAAAGGTTTAATATTGTAGCTTTTTCAGAAACAGAAATTATAAAAAAATAACTAGGAAAAAATGAAATAGGAAGCAAAATGAATTTATTTTGTGGGGAATTACCATATATTCTAACTGTAGGTATAACAAATTTATTTTGAAAAATTAGTTTGCCCCAATCTGGAATCCTGATTAATTTCTCAAATAATATTGAAGTGACTATTACAATTCATAATCATTGAGTTTAAATTAATGATTAGTTTACTGTGCAAGTATAAATAAAAAATCAGTATGTTTGTAAACCTATGTGTGCATATATATCAGTCCATCTAAAATAAAATAGTTAAATAATTATGTAAAGTATCTTAGCACTATATAGGAAATATCCAAATGTGTGCAATAAGCAGTAGTCAGGCTTGGATAAAGCCAAGACGCATGGTGATGTTAGTCATCTTCAGCTCCTTTACTAGGCAATGGACTGCCATCTATTGACTCATAGTAGGCCTCACACTTGAATGTGGATCAGCCAGAGCAATGACCAAGCAATGAAGCCTAGGTTAGAATTGCTACTTTTGTATAATCATTTAAACCAGTCTGCTGAAAACTCCAGAACTTTCTATACTTAATTAATGACTAATTTCTTTTTCTGAACAAAAAAATGACCATTACTTATCCAAAATGAACTGTGCTTTTGGGGGGAAAAAATTGATCGATATATCCAGTTTGGAAGTGTTTACATTTGGGAACTTTTCAACTGCTTTTATTTGCCTCCCAACCAGTAAGACTAGAAGGTCATTTACAGAGCAACCTAAGTTTTAGCAACTACAAATTATGGTCTATCCAGAAATCACTTTCTTTAAAAAAAAGAAAAAAAAGACTAACTTAAACAATACTATTTGTCAAACACATAAGAAAGGTGATGAAATCATATACTATGGTGAAGTCCAAAGGGACTTGTGAAGTGTTCCAGTCAAAATTTTCTTAAAACACATTCTGAAGTAAGAATATTATAGAAAAGAAATATTCACTATTTTTAGCAATTTCATGAGAGATAATAAAATAAAGCCTCCTTAACTACTTTTGGGGCCCTAATGCTGCAGTGGTTAAGTGCTGGGCTGCTGACCAAAAGGTCAGCAGTTATAATCCACAAGCCACTCCTTGCAAATCCTATGGGGCAGTTCTGCTCTGTCCTGTGGGGTCACTATGAGTCGGAATCGACTCGGCGGCAACGGGTCTTGGTTGGGTAACTACCTGTATCTGAATAGAATAGCTTTTTAACCAAACTTGACTAGACTTCTCTACATTAATAAAAACTAATCCACTATTCTGAAGGGTCCAAGCTAATAAAACTCTAAGATTATATTTATATTAATATATATGGCATATAGCATGTATTGTAACAACTGTATGGCTATACCATTTTTCTTTATATATTTTAAAGGTTATAAAATTATGTCACATAATTTAGTGGCTTTAGAGTATTGATTTAGAGATCTGCCTGGAAAAAAAGGATTTTTATTCAGCAATTAAATAATTTCTCCCAAATAGTTAATGTTTATGTCTTCAAAAAGTATTTAGAAAGTTTTAAAAATCTTTTAACAGTATAACACTGTTCTTGTATTTTAATTTCTGTTATATTTTCTGATTTTAGTAAAGCCTGGCCTTAAGTATTCTTTTTCACCTTTCAAATAACTCATTCTAGGTGAATTTTTCCCTCTTTAACTATTCAAGAAGGAAAGTCCCTTTCCCCATCCTGCATCATTTCTAGTCTCGTTTATATTAAAAATCCTAGGCCCAAATGGCCACCAACAGAGTTTTACAACCAACAAAATTTTTGCTAGTGGAGGCTGTGATTTGACATGCTTTGGACAGTTTGTTAATCTTGTTTTTAATCTACTTACTTTAAAAAATAACCAGGACTTTGCCTTTTAGGGCTGTATGTGTTAAGAACCAAAAATGACAATACGTCTTTTATGTTTAATTTTGCGCTTGGATTTCCTTGTGTGCACTGTTAAAATGTATTATGGCTTACAACCTTTTATTTTAAGTAAGAGTTGAAGCAGGAAGCAAGTGTAACTCTTTTGAAAAATTAAGTTTCAAATGTTTCTTTAAATATAATGTTTCGAATGCCTAGAATTCACACTTAGAAAAGTAAAATATTTGCTGTTACGGAAATGGAGAGAGTAATAACTTTCCTTGCTTTCCTTTCTGGCCTGGGAAAGTCTTGGCTTACGGTCAGAGTTCACTAATAATCAAGTAGTCTTACCTGAGCTATTTGAATAACAGATTATATGTTATGGGCCATAATTAACAATATGTCATTTCATTTTGCTGCTCAGTTTTCTCTTCTAACCAGAGAGCATCAATTTAAAGATACTCTCTGGGTTTTCACAGTATGGAAGTGAGAGGATTACACTAAATGAGAGAATTACTCTTTAAAGCATTCTGCGCCATACCAGAAGGTAGAAAAACCCTAGATGTCAACAGATTTGAATTTAACTTTAGAGCTATGTTTTGTAGTCCACCAGGTGGAATACGAAAGTCGATTTGGTAGTCCTGGGGCTATAACTATGCAGAAATCTTTATCCCTGGATTGTGATGTAAGGTAGGGTAGGTAACAGTTTTCTAACTGTCTAAAGCTAAAAAGAAATGTTTTTCTTCTAAAATAACTTAAAATGGGAAATAAAGAATTTCAAAAAGTCGGTCCCAAGCCGGAATCTGTTCTTTTCATGGAAAAAATATCTCTCTTTCTTAATTGGATATATGTTGGGAATCCCAAATATCTTTCTCAGAGCACCTTGGCTGCATAAGCAGAACTGCAAAACCCACAAGAACTCCATCCACCCAGTAGATACCAAGTGATAGATCTTTCTGTTTTCTTTTGTCTAAGAGAATGTAACTGGTTGCATGTTGTACTTTAAAATGTCAAATAACTCCAAAATAGAGTGAGACGTAGCTAGGTCTTTGTACCACTTTTGGAGTCCTGGCACACAGATTATCATAAACTTAACACTTTGCAAATTCATTTTGGAAGTTTTTATTTTGGTGGTTTAAATTCACTTTGCCAACTCCCTCAGGAGCCAGGAATACTCTTGAATAAGTTCTCGTTTGTTTTCTTTATACCTGGTATTGCTATTTCAAAATTTTGATTGACTAAGTGTTGCTATCAAGACATTGCATCTCGTGTCAAATTTTCAGAGATTTAGTTTTTATTAAAAATGCCCTTAGTACTAAAACATTACTTAGTTGGATGTAGTTGTTCTCTGATGATTCAGAAGGCACATCACTATTTTATAATACCCAGGGACGGATTACCCCATGAGCAAGGTATTATACACAGGCTTATTTGTGCTTACTTACTAATCTGTAGTGAACAACTTCACCTGTTATTCATCACATCAAAGATGTGGTGAAACCCTTGTGAAATTGATCACTACAGGTTAGTAAGTAAACACAGTTAAGCCCGTGTGTACCTTGCTTACTGGTTAATGTGCCCCTGGAAGTA